GAAAAAAAAAAAAAAAAAAAAAATCATGCACAAGCAACACAAAATTAACCCAGTAATAAAATCAGGCCTCAGGAGGGAAACTAAATGTCTGGGAGAGGTCAATAGAGGAGTTGCATACATGAAAGTCCCTCACAAAGTCTTACTATCCTTCATGGAGAAGCCAGCACTGAAGACATCTACCATGATCACATGGAAAGAGGAGAAACCCTCTCTCAGGAAGTCAGGTCCCAGTTAACTCAAAGCAGCTGGAAAGACATATTATGCAATAAGTTTGCAGGCTACTTAGAGCAAAAAAATGAGTATCACTGAACACATGCTAGATATTATGTAAGTGAATGCTTGTATCTTGCTGCACATGCCAGTTCCCCATCCAGTAACAAAGGACTGTTTCCTGAAATTGTACTTCACGTAAGAAGGCCCTGCATTTTCAAGCACGAAGCTCAGGGGCCTTTGGTGAGTAACGCAGTCAAAAACCATCTAAAAGCTACTGAACATTTAGCGAAATATTTCACAGGTGCTGAGCTTCCAACAGATCTGAGACTAATCACACACACACACGGATTCCAGTGTTTAGTGCTTGTATTCACTAGATCAGTGGTCTCCAACCTGTTTAAGTAGGAGATCACCTTTGGCATTTAAAGCAACCCAAGATCTACTCGGTGCCACCGTCACCCCCTGCCCCTCACCCACCAGGTAAATCTGCAGGGCGGGAAAGGGCGGGGGGGCACATATTGAGGCAGAGAGAGAAAAAATGCATTTGGGAGTGCGCCTACCCAGCAGGTAAGTCCCACCCAGCTGAGGCCCCACATAGTTTACCCCTGCTTCTGCCTCTGCGGCACGGTCCCTCACCACGGAAGCCTTGATCTATCCCCTGCCCCTTCCCTCTCCCATGGACTGACCTGCTGGGCTGGGGCACGCGTGTGCATGCACACAGGCACTCAGCCCCCCCACCCCAGCCTCAGATCGACTCCAAGAGGCTCAGATTTACTGGTGGATCGAGAGCCACTGGTTGGTGACCACTGCGCTAGAAGATACCCATTCACTTTTACTTGATGCCATGGAATCTCTTGACCTCAAGTGTCACCTAGGTAAAAAGCCCTGCAACTTCATTAGGATTTACTAGCAAGGCAGTCTGCTCCTTGCATGCTTTCTTCTCAAATACTTTTTCAATGACTGTCATTCTGCCTAAACATGCAGAAGTTTAACTCTGGTCACCTGCTGTGCCACATCCCATTTCCTGATGGAGCAGAGCAGACATTGCTAGTAGAGAATTATTAATCTGCTTTGTAACTGCACAAGCCAAGGTTAAGTCAGGTGACAAGTCACAATCACTAATAATGTCCAGACTATAAGGCACCCTGCTGTACAGAAAAGTAGCTGTACCCCAAAAAGGAGAACCTGTTACAGGAGGCTACAAAAAGTTAACACCATAGTCCCTGTTTATGTGGCACAAGTAATCCTGAAAGTCACTGAACTCTTATAGAGAATCTCCCATACAAGCACAATGCTGATTTATGCCTACCAGTTTCAGAAGTTTGCAGAGGGAGAGACATGGGGAGAAAGTGATTTATTTTTTCCCTAATGCAAAACACTTTTCACAAACAAGCAAATCATGTACAGAGCTGAAAAGACATGGTTTATCTCGCTGTCCAGAATGTAAAGCATTTCTAGCTGACAGAAACACCCCACAAATGAAAACACGTTAATAAAAAAAATCCAGAAATAACTACATAAACCTGCTTCTTACAATTGCAAACCCTCACTGCTCATACACTTCACTTCTACATACTCCCCCCACCCCTCGATACTGTATGAGAGGAGCCTGCAATTTTATAACAAGCTGTGTTCTGAGTGTTAAGACAGAAAGGTCAAACCAATTTTTTTAAATCCAAAACAGAACAAAAATTAAGACACACAGGAATGGACCGTTTATTTCTACTCATTAATCTAACCAAGCACATACTCACACAGAGATGAGCCAATCAGAAGAAACCCAACAGCAAGGCACCAAAATCCATCGGAGGGCAGGGTATGAAAGAGAAAAAGATACAAGTTAATAGGGAGTTCCAGCTTTAAAAAACAACAGCGCACAGAAAAATCCTTTAAGCCACAAAGTCAAGCCCTCATACCTATATTTTAATATAAACCCTGCAAGAGAGTTTGTGCAAAATTACCAGGAGTGGAACAGATGGCTAAACCAGAGGTTTATATTGAATATTCCTTCTAAGTACACAAATGTAGAAAAAAAAGATAGTCATGCGTTATTTAATGCAGATAATACTCTAAATACTGCATATGAGGCAGCAGTTAGCCCTGTGTTTTATAACATGCAATATTTAACTTTTCTGAGAGCCTGAGATGAGTTTCACACACAGGCAGAGAGAGAAGAATTCAGGTTACAGAAATACGAAAACTAAGAAAGAGTAAAGAAAAACTAAGAGAAGAGTAAAGAACTAAGGCAAATCTGACTGAGCTGCAGAAGCGCTGAGACTGCAGACAAGTTCCTACTCCACTTCTCTTCATGTTGGGTCTAGATAAGCCCGAAAAGGATCTGTTATATAAGGCAAACTTCATCAGCTATGGGGGTTGGGAGGGGAACTCTGCACTTCTCTCCAACCCAAATTCAAACAGGTTTCAGTTGAGCCCTCTAGTGGGCTTTCAGTTTCACTCTGCTCTGACTTTTAAATTTAATTTACATTTTTTCTAAAGATCTGTAAACCCTAACCCTGTCTAAGAAACATTAACCAAATACAGCAATTTAAGAACACACCTGGCTCTACAAGCCACAGTAGTCTACCACTGCTGCTCTCGTTTCACTAGCTTGTTTTTCTATGCTCCCCAGCGTAAGCACCTAGCACATACCATTGCACTAAAAATACTGTTCTATTTACATCACCAGAGGCTACACATGCATTTCTGGGGCATCAAGCATGTAGCATGGTATCTTTATTACTTTTAACGTGCATTGGTTTTAGTTGCCATTTATATTCTCTTGGATGCTATTTGAATCATCCTGCCTGCATGATGCACAGACTGTAGAGTGACATTCGGCAATTCCAGGCACCGCACGTACTACAATGGGCCCAATTCTCCACTTCTGTTATATGCAGCAAAGCCCACACAATGAATCAAGAACACCACCAACTTTGTACAGAGTAAAAGTAATGGAATACAAGGTGTTGGATTTCTTTACTCGTATCACACAATGTGGATATTGTTTAAAAAGATGAGCTTTGGTTTCTCTTACATTAGATGTCTAGATCGTGTCCAGCCTGATTTTCCTGAAAGACTCCACAGACCACTAGAGAGCTGACACAAGGCTGTTATATGCGAGAAGCATGAAATGTGAACGGCTAAGTGAGAAAGGTACTGTCACCCTCAGAGCATTAATCAAAAGAGCATGTTAACATCTACTGATGTTGAGCCTGGCCAGCAGTTGAAAGAAAAGCCCTCCTCATGAGATATTAAACATTTTGCTCCTTCAGCTGAGGGCTATGAAAGCATTTATGTTGGCAGAGCTTGAGAACTGAGTAAACACAGGAAAACAAGCGTTTATGTAGATCCTAAGCTACTGCATACTGGCAGAGAAGTACTGATTTACACCAAGCAAGGATATGGCTTGATATCCAAAAGACAGGACAGAAAGAGGACCTTTAAAATAAAAAGATTCCAGGACTTTTGTCCAACATAGTGAGGACAGATTCATGTTTTCCTCCCTTAACAGGTCACCTTTAAACTTATCTTAAAAGCATCTGTGTGTGGTTTGATTTCCTAAGCCACATTAGGAACACAAACCACTGATGCAGTGAGAAGATCTGTAAAGCTACTCATTACTATGCTGATCAGGAGTGGAACATACATTAATTATGCTGTAAAGAATGTTCCCTTTGGCCTTGCCAGTGGGAGTCTTTAATATCATGAACACAGTCCTTTGCTACCAGGTGCAAGATCAATAGCCAGAAGGAGCTGAGCTCCAAAGAAGCCCACGGCAAATATAGGCTTCTGCTTGCTCTATGTGGAAAGCCTGCTATTGTAATCTGTAACCTGGATACTGTTCATGGTACTTGTGTTGAATGGTGGAACCTTGACCTGCTAATGCAAAAACCTGTAAATAAGAAAGGGAGGGACAAAATACAGTCTACAGCTATTGGTACCACAATCCAGAAATGAGTGGGAAGGTAGGGACCAGCCTTCCATTCGTTACCATGGGCCACAGACAAGTCTCCATGCAAAAGCCCATGGTCAATATTGTGGCAACACAGATATGCAGCAGAGGTGGTCTCTGCTCCAAGGAGTGTACAACCTCAGCAGCTTCTAAATCCTAGAAAGCAGCTAATTTAGACTCTAGTTCCAGGCCAGGAGGAGCAGGGACAGTTATCTCAACCCACAGAGGTAGCAAGGGGCTCACAGCTTGCTGCTTCATCTTAGCTGATGAGGACTTAAGTCACCTGCATACCAAGACAGAGTCCTGACTTGGGAGGCACAAATCTCAGCCTCATTTTAAAATCCAGAGCTTAGGCCTGCCTTGCCCCGAAAACTTAAAGCACCTTCCCTCTGTCCACCCCAAGGACCTGCACTTGGTAGTCTGCTTTGTGCCTGGCCTCATTTTTCTGAGTCTCCTCCAGGATTTACATTTTCCTCCTTCATCCAAGTCTTCCCCATTCTGTCCTTTCCCACTCAGGGCTGGTCTGCATGACAGAGTTACCTTGCAATGAACTGGTGAGTTGTAAATTCACACCCCCTCTACTCAGGACCTGTTCCCCATGTATACAGTCATGCACACTAAGCACAAGCTAGCCAGTCCCACTTTCAAAGTTACTTTTCACAAAGGAACACTTACCACTCAGAGCATGTCCATGCAAGTGGGGAGAGTATTACAGCAAAGTGCAGGTACCCTGCATTCACAACCTAGCTTCTTGTGTGGTGATTTCCCCAGCTGGACCTGCATAAGCCCCTTTTCCACTACAAGAATTGTCCTTGCCCCATCCCACTACAGGACATCGCAGGAGGAAATGGAGTCAACAAGGAGCCAACAGTGCTGCCCCTCTGATCTCTATGCCCTGAACAGGGGGACAAGGAGAAGATCTTTTCTCCACAACTCTGGGTGCTTTACAGATCACAAACTAGTTGCAGTGATCTAGTCATTATTTGGGAGTAACAAGCATCAGAATTAACAGAGTGAGCACAAATGTTTCTACAGATTAGATCCATTTAGCCTCTTTCCTGAGGAACTCCAATCCCCAAAGAGCAGCTGAGAGCCATGAGGATTCAGAGTGCTCCTCTAGTTTCTGAGCACAGAAGGAGTCTTCCCAGATTTGCATCTCGTCTCTGCAGTGGCATAAAGGCTGGGGATGGACTTCTTTGGGGGTGTGGACAAATGTAATGCTTAGAGCAGTGATTCTGGACTGGAGTTTATTCAGCCATACTAGTTAGACATGTAGATGTGCCCAAGCAATCCTAGTCTTCTGCACCCTAACGGAGGCAGCACAGTCAAGGACTGACAGCTGGCTGATAAGTTGGCTCCAGAGATAAAGAGGGTTGGGGTTTTTTAAAACCAAGGTCATGTGTCCCATTCCAAAATCCAGAGCAAACAGGGATTATTGGCACATAAACCAGTAGGAAGACAGAATTTAAGATCAATCAAGAGAATGGGAAGCAGGTTTACTGGGTGTAAATGTAGTTCTGCCACATACTCCTATAACCTTGAACACGTCAGTTTACCTCTGTGCCTCAGTTTCCCCATCTATAAAGAAGTGGTAGCCGTTCCTACCCATATGAGGATTTGTTCATATCAGCAAAGCCCTTCAGTGGAGGGTGGCAACAAAGGTCCCCATTTTTCTCTCTCATCTCATTTTGAACATACCAACTCTTAAAAAGCACACATTATGGAAGCACTTTCTAGTTACAGGGCTTCTTGTCTGAATACAATGCAAGCAACTATTTTCATTGTTAATGAGCCTGTCCTCCTTTGACCCAGAGAAGTTTTCTGCAGGCAGCGAATAAGCTGTGCTCCCCACGTTCACCTCCTGGAATAAATCCCAAGAGCTGTATAGTCTCCCCAGCCTAGCCAGGGACACAGATGGTTTTGGAGATTAAAACATTCAGGGAATTAACTGCCCTGTGCAAATGAACTTCTTCATTCAGCCCCAGCCTTGCCAGGTGGCTCTGAAGCATAGTAATGGAAGATGATCACCATTATTTGCTGAACATGGCTAATGTGCTCACTCCTGTACCCAGCCAGCTACAGAGCACGGCAAATTTCAGGACGTGCACAGAAAAGGAAGGCCAAGATGGCGAGCCAGGCGGCTACTGTACACGGCATCTGTTCCCTTTTTATTTCTTCAGTGTTCTGAGTAATCACTTACAAACATTTAGCATTTGGGTGGCAGAATCACGCAATTGCTGCTGTAAGCAAAAGCACTGCAGCTAGCACTGACTGATTATGCTGTGGGGAGGGAAGAAAGGATAAAAAGACACTGATTATCTCCTTTGCTGCTGCTCCACCGGCACTCCTTTACTTGGAGAAAACTGCCATGCAGATTCGGGCAGCTTCAGAATAAAAGAGTCCACTCATTAAATTGGGAAACGGCTAGAACAAAGAGTGATAGCTGATGTTCTCCTGGAAAAAATGCTCTCTCAGCATCAGTTACATGACTTCTCGCTGCTGCACGCTGTACAGGAGCAAGACACTGGGGTGTCATTAGTGCTAAAAATAACAATGCCAGAAAAAAAGTCTGGCCAAAAGCATGGGATTAATGCTTCCCCTGAAGATATTCTCTCTCTCCCCTCCACCTCTTCCACACACAATGCCTGCTTCAATGGATTTAACACCCCTTCCACACACACACACACACACACACACACACACACACACACACTTGTGTTAAAGAACACCAGATAACACCAGGCACTAACTCAGTATCACGAGTTGGTGAAATCTCAGCCTACTGTATGTGCAGACTCCACACAGGAGCTAACTCAGCAGTTAAGGACAGAGGTAGACTGGCTGAGCTGGGAATGGGGCTTCAGGGAGCCAAGACCAGCCAGTGCTATGC